ACAAGTCCATAGTAATCAAAACAGAATGGTACTAATATAAAAACAGACATGTAGATCAATGGAACAGAATAGAAAGCCCAGAAATAAACCCATGCCTTTATGGGCAATTAATATTTGACAAAGGAGGCAAGAACATACAATGTGGTAAAGATTGTCTATTCAATAAATGGTGTTGGCCAAACTGGACAGATACATGCAAAAAAAATAAACTAGACCATCTTGTTACACCATATACCCAAACTTAAAATGGATTAAAGACTTAAATGAAAATACCTGAAAACATAGCAGTAAAATCTCAAACATTTTTCACAGCAATATTTTTTTTGATATATCTCTGCAGGCAAGGAAAACAAAAGAAAAAATAAACAAAACATCAAACTAAAGAGCTTTTGCACAGCAAAGGAAACCATCAACAAAACGAAAAGGCAGCCCTCTGAATGGGAGAACATATTTGCCAGTAATACATCTGATAAGGGGTTAATATCCAAAATTTATACAACTCAACACCAAAAAAAGTCTAAATAATACAATTTAAAAATAGGCAAAGGGCCCTGGCCATTTTGGCTCAGCAGTTAGCGTGTCGCCTGCAGACTGAAGGGTCATAGGTTCGATTCTGGTCAAAGGCAAGTACCTGTGTTGCAGGTTCAATCCCTGGCCCTGTCTGGGTCATGCAGGAGGCAACCAATCAATGTGTCTCTCTCACCTTGATGTTTCCTTCTCTCCCCCCCCTTTCCTTCTCCCCCTCTTCCCCTCCCTCTCTCCCTCCCCTCTCTCCCTACCTCCATCCTTCCTTCTCTCCATCTCTTCCACTCTATCTACAGATCAGTGGAAAAATATCCTTTGGTGAGGGTTAACAAAAATAAAAAATTAGCAAAGGCCCCAAATAGATAATTCTCCAAAGAGGACATACAGATGGCCAGTAGACATGAAAAAATGTCAATGTCACTAATCATCAGAGAAATACAATCTAAAACCACAGTTAGACATCACCTCAAACCCGTGAGAAGGGCTGTCATCAACAAACAACAAGTATTGGAGAGGATGTGGGGAAAGGGGAACCCTCATGCCCTGTTGGTGGGAATGCAGATGGGTGCAGCCACTGTGGGAAGCAGTACGGAGTTACCTCAGAAAATTAAAAATGGAACTGCCTTATGACCTGGTGATACCACCTCTGGGAATATATCTGAAAAAACACATTACACTAATTCAATAGAATATATGCACCCCTATATTGGAATTTACAATAGCCAAGGTTTGGAAGCAGCCCAAGTGCCTCTCATTAGATGAGTGGATAAAAAAGCAGTGGTACATTTACACAATGGAATACTATTTGGCTGTAAAAAGGAAGGAAATCTTACCTTTTGTGACAACATGGATGGATCTGAAGAGTATTATGCTAAGTGAAATAAGCCAGTTAGATAAAGACAAGTACCATATGATTTCATTTATATGTGGAATTTAATGAACAAAATAAACCAGCAAACAAAATGGAAACAGACTGACAGCTGTCAGGGGGAAGAGGGATTTCGGGGGCTGGGTGAAAATTGAAGGGATTAAGCAAAAACAAAAACTCAGAGACAAGAGAATGGTTATTGCCAGAGGGAAAGGGGTTGGGGCAGGGGGAGGTAGAGAGGGTGAAGGAAGGATGACTCGGGGTGGTGAACACACAATGCAGTATACAGAAAATGCATTATAGAGTTGCACACCTGAAACCGATTTAATTTTATTAACCAATGTCACCCCAATATATTCAATAACAAAAAAGATAAAAAAGAACATTGATTTGTGTTCTTCCTTATTGTAGCTGGGGTTGTTGTTGCTCCATTTCCTTGACACCTGCGTCTCAACAAAGGATCCCCACTCCTGCATTTAGATTCACCTTTTACTTGTATATACCCCCTCTGCTCATTATACAGTTCTCCAGGGATCCAATTTGCCCCTGAGTTAATCACCTCAGCCCTTTTCAGATCTTAGATTACCATCCTTTCAAAGAATACACACTTTGTCATGAGGCTGTTAACTTCTTTCCCTTCACTTTTCTTTCCTTATTTCTCTTTAAAAATGTAGCCACTAGAGCCTCCACACACTACCTTTATAGCTTTGTATTGAGGTATGTCATGCATACAGAGAAGTGCAGCAATCCTGATTATACAGCTTGATGGGTTCTCAGTAAACACGCCCATCTAACCAGCGCCCCAGAAGGCTCCTGCGACTCCTGCCAGTCACTGCTCGCTCCCCACCACAGGGCAGTCTTTTCCTGTTAGACTTCAGAGAATGGAGTGTCATGCAGTATGTTCTCTTTTGTGTTAGATACGACTTTTAAAACCAGAATCCTCACAGAAAGTTGGACTATATGCCCATGGTACTGAATAATCAGATCAATACAGCTGTTTAGACAGCCTCAGCACATCATAATGTTTTAATATACTCCTTTTAGCTCTTACCTTGGTCAAATTACTAACCACTTTTGGGTTCTGTTTTCCCTTATACCATGAGATAAGGTCTGAACTGGTATTTCAACTAAAACAGGTGAGTACTCTAAGGTTTCTGTACATAAAGGAGAAGAATGTAAAAGCCATCTCTTTGCGTAGGTGGAATCGTTTATAGAGTTCCACATGAAACAGTAGCTGGATGAGAATAACAGTAGCTTCCTAGTAGAGAAGCAGAACAATACAAAGTCGACCTGCTGGGCAGTTGTACTTATCAGTTATTTCTCGCTTATTATTTTAAAATAAAATTGCATAATGAATAAATATGAATGGGTTGCCTTTTTGTATATAAATGTACTGTAGGTGTCCAAGGTAGCTCAGATTAAGATTTATTCATTTTGTCATTAATTGATTTCAAAAGTACTTGATATCTATAAGATACAGTGGAATATAAGCAACTTGAATGTAAATTATTTATATCTGTTTCCCTCTAACCAGGATCTGTTAAGTGCCAGTTACCCCTGATCTTCAAATCTAAAACTGTTTCAGTTCCCCATTCAGGCAAAATACCCTGGTCCTTCTGAGTAAGAAATTGAAATATGTAATACGATTTTTTTTCTCCATCCATGAGACTGTTAGTAGAACCTTTTTAAAAACTAGGAATACTAAATGACATATAGCCAAGTCTACTTTATATAGAATGTGGAAATTAAATTTCTTTTTTGTTCAGAAATTACTCAGCATATTGATACACTCTGAATAAGCTATTCAATGGGCACACAGAGGTGGAGGAAGTACCCCTGACCACTAGGCAAAGTCTGTATCTTTGGATTTTAAGGACAGTTTAATAGACTGTTGATCCCTAGTAAATATGAAGTGATACAATATTTGTCATACCTAATAGAAAAACCACAGCGAGTTCCAAATATTGTATAATCTTTTTATCTATTTTAAAAAAGTATAAGTCACCAATAAATTTTGAACAGGCACTTATTAAATGTAATTAAATTGCAGGCATTCACACAACAGAACAAAGGGAAGCATTCTCAGCAGGTGAACAAGAGACTAAGACAGCTAAAGAAAATTTCCCTGGGGTGGGGGTGGATTGTAGTAATTTCTTTTAAGCATTTGCTTTTAGAAGAACGACACCAGCATACAGGGACTATATAACATGCCTGCACTTAGTGTAAGCAAGAGTGCGTGCTTATACTACCGGGGCTACATTCTTACTAAATTTGTTTGGAGTTCCAGGCTTCGTTTCCATCTATAGCAGCAGTTCTCAACCTGTGGGTCGCGACCCCCTTGGAGGTCGAACAACCCTTTCAGAGGGGTCGCCTAAGAGCATCTGAAAACACATATTTCCGATGGTCTTAGGAACCGAGACACGGCTCCTCTATCCGTCTCCAGGCGGGTCCGCCCACATGCAGATACGCCCACACACAACATGAGGAGCTGCATTAAAGGGTCACAGCATTAGGAAGGTTGAGAACCACTGCTCTACACGGAAAACTTTGGCCTAGGAAACAGCAATGGAACATCAACACCATGCAGTTGTGTTTTATGGTCACTGAAATATTTTAAAGTAATTCTTCCAGTAAGTTACCTATTAATTACTCTGTTGCAAGCAAATAAAAATCAGATGACTAATAGCCCCTTACATTTGGGTAGAGCTTTATTTTTTTAACGTACTTTTAGCCAGATCTGATTTTATTGGTAAAACACGCTTGTATTAGTTTGTTCCGTAGTCCATAACTAAATTCCATAGACTAGGTGGCTTAAACAACAAAAATTTATTTCCCAAAGTTCTGTAGGCTGGATGTCCAACATCAAGGCACCAGTTGCTATAATTCCTGGTGAGGTCTCCTCCTGGCTCGCAGGACAGCCTCTTGCTAGCTGTGTCCTCCTGTGATACTCCCTGCGGCGACTGCACATGGAGACCCCCTCTTCCTCTTATAAGGCCACCATTCTGTCACATTAGGACCCCACTTTTGTGATCTCATTTAACCTTAATTACCTCCTAAAATCCTTGTCTCTAAATATAGGCACAGTGGGGATGGGGCTTCAGTATATGAATTTGGGGGAGGTGTCATACTTCAGTCCATAGCAACCAAACTTCTGAAGTAGATAAGATAGAGATAACTGATAACTCGATATACCTATGTTAGAAAGCCACTAAAATACTAGAACAAAGATTTAAATTTTTACTCAGTTCCACACTGCCTTCCTTAGTTACAGAAATGGTTTATCTGACCAAAAAAAAAATTGTCCTCTCTCTCACAAAATAGAAGTCACTAATTGGTCATAGGAGATCAGCAACATCCACTTCATGGTTTTGCTATTTGTGGAAAATGGGATCGACTTTGTTAACATTTATATGTGGTATGGTATGCTCTGGAATTTTTAGTCAGCTGAAGTCAGGTAGCCTTAAAACTGCTGTCAAAAATAGTAACCTAAGTTTTCAAATGGTAAGTAAATTAGAATTATACTGACCAGGCTGGAGTTGCCTTTTAAGGACTCCTCATGGTTATAATTAAACTATCAAAATGAAGTGTCTCATTTTATATTTTACAGAAGACGATCTAAGAAATATGGGACCAGTAGATGCTCAAGTATATCTTGAAGAAATGTCTTGGAACAAAGGTTGGAATTTTTTTCTCTCCTATCTACAGTAAAAGAAAATGTTAGGGATTTTCTATAAAGAAAAAAAAAAACTCTCATGGGATATGTGGAGTCTTAAAGAGAAATAATAGCTTGGCTTTGGACATAAACATGGGTGTTTTTGTCTGGAATATATTTTTTTCATCCTAAACTTCAGTTATTGATACCTCCCTATATGGCTCATTTCTAATTATTTTTCTGCTCTAATTAAATGTTAGGTACGTAAGGTTTTCTTTTGTTGTTAATGTTCACCCTACAATATTTTTCCATTGATTTTTAGATAGAATGGAAGGGAGGGAGGCGAAGCGAAAGAGAGAAACATTGATGTGAGAGAGACACATTGATTGGTTGCTTCCTGCGCGACCCCAACAGGACTGAGGATTGAACCTGCAACCCAGGTAAGTGCCCTTGACCGGGAATCGAACCCAAGACCCTTTGGTCTGAGGGCCAATGCTCTAACCACTGATCCAACACCAGCCAAGGCAAGGTTTTCTTGTTTTAAACTACTTTGGTGGTTAGTTTACTCTCCATCTGTGTAATAGGGAAAATAAAGTTAAAGAAGATGATTTTTTTCCATACTTCCTATGTTGACATTTGAGATGATTTCTCATTAGAATTTTTATTTATATAGAATCATAAACTGTCAGGGCAGGCCTTTCAATGTTAAATTCTTTCACTTGGAGCTTGATTTTACACTCACTTTTTTACTGTGTTTAGGTGGAAAATAAAAATCTGTCACTCCCTTTTACTCACCATGAAGTCACCTCTTTCCTTTTCCTGAATATTAAAACCTCACCCTAATGTAATTTCTCCACTCTTGATAGTTCTGAGTTGCTCGGGTGAGACGGTAAGTTCCTTTTCTAATGGAAGCCTTGAATACCACACTGTCAAGTGCAGAAAATACTATCATTTCCTAGAATTTTAAAGTACCTGTAACGTTATTGTTCAGCTTGGGGTACAAATTTGATAGGGGTTTATAAAAATTTACTAATGAATGTGAGTAGGTAGAAGTTAAACAGCCCATCCTTCCTGAAACCAAGTTTAATGAAAAATTTTTAATGGAAAGTTCTTAACTTAGTGCTCTTAGAAAGTTGGGTCACAAGCTATGACTCAGGCAGGGATCATGTTTTTGCCTGTGGACCACTCTGTTCCTAACGTGCCAAATGAAATCCTAGAATAGAAAATCTTATTTGCAGTAAGTGTTTGGAAAACGAGGGTTAGTGTCACTGGGGCTCCCAGGAGCTGACAGCTTCATCAGCGTGAACTGGGAGGGCTCCTGCTGGGAAGGCAGAAGACACGAGTGACGTGGCTTTCACTGCGAGAGCCAGGGGCGCAGACCGGAACGGGTCATTTCTCAGGGAGACCTCAGCCAGATACATCTGTTGAAATATAGTATTGCCACCTTATCAGTCAGTGTGTTTAATCTCTTATTAGACAAATTAGTTCTTGCTATACTTGATGTGACTAGTATATTTTGTTTCTTGTTCCTGATAATGTGAAAATAGTGAAAACTAGGTTTTGTAATTTTTCCTCCTTCAGTAACATTTAAAATATATAATTAAATGCCTGGCTGGTGTGGCTCAGTGGATTGAGCATCGTCCCATGGATTTCAGAGGTCCCAGTTCGATTCCCAGTCAAGGCACATGCCTGGGTTGCGGGCCCAATCCCCAGTAGGGGGCGTGCTAAAGGCAGCTGATCCATGTTTCTCTCTCACATCACTGTTTCTCTCTCTCTCTCTAAAAAAACAAAACAATAAAAACATGTATATCTATATAATTAATAATAATTTAAGATTTTTTTAAAAATTAAGAATAAAGCCTGGCCGGTGTGGCTCAGTGGTTGACCATTGTCCCGTGCACCAAGAGGTCGCTAGTTCGATTCCCGGTCACGGCACATACTCAGGTTGTGGGCCAAACCCCCAGTGGGGGGCATGCAGGAGGCAGCCAATCGATGTTCTCTCTCATCGGTGTTTCCATCTCTCTCTCCCTCTCCGTTCCTCTCTCTCAAATCAATATAAAAAAAAAAATTAAGAATATGGATTGGTGGTTCAAGCATCTGTTCAGTCAACAAATAAATGAACTTTTTGATACAAGTGAAAATGTTAAGAAATGAAGAAGTATACAACATGAAATTGGCAGGCATTATAAAAAATGTGGTATTGTCCTTGAGACTTCCTAAAGTAGACTTGATAGTGAAGAAGATGTAGAGGAATCCCAGCCACAGCCAGTGAATCACTTATAAGCTGCTACAGTCTCTTAAAACTGCAGGATGTCCTTAGATACTTACTTAAATACAGAGTTTTTAAAATAATTGTAAAGATTGAAATAGTTCTTACCCTTGTGAGAGAAATACTGAGCAACAGCTACATGAAGCCATTATTTTTGCAGGAATGTTTGAACACTAGCCAAGTAAGTTTTGTAATTGAGTTTGCAACTTCGAGTTGATTTTGCAACTGGAAAGAGCACCCTTGGCAGGTGAAGTTAAGTAAAAATCAGATCTACTGGACAAGTAAAATAATCGAAGATTTCTTCACAGTCACTTTCAGAATACTTTGGAAGATTTAGCACAAAAGAGATGAAATGCTACATGATAGACAGCCAAATTATCAGCTTCTTGATCCAGGGACAGTTTGAAATGATGCACTGTATTATGCTTTAAAGGCATATACCTGCAGAACTCTTGAAAGACTCAAGTTTTAACCTTTCCCCTCACAGCTAATCTCATATACAACTTGGTTATTTTGTCATCATTTGTTACATTTAAAGTGACGATTTCTTTGAAGATACCACTTTAAGTGATAGAAGAATATAAGAAGAAATTTGACAAGATGTGAGTTTTTAGTGAGTGTTAACATTTGGAATCATCCATGATAAAACTCCACAGTAGCCCATGGTGGCCTCTGCAGCTTTTACCAAGCACGTCACTTCAGATTGTTTCTCAGTGTTCGCTGAGGTGGTAAAAGTACAAGAAGGAAATTTAGCTCTGAAAACCAGTGGCTAGAATATATTTTTACACAATTTAATAATAAAACAATTCATTACAAAAGCATGCTCCACTACCTATGTATGTTGACTCACGGAAGATGTCAGCATTTTAAAATTCAAAATTAAATGTTACTCCTTATGGAGAAAAAAGGCATTGTGGTAAAAAATAAAAAGGACTGGGTGAGTGAATCCAGATTTTTCTTAATGATAAAAGAAACACATGAAGTTGGTTCATTTCATCACTAGTTTTTCCAAGGCTAGAATTGATTAGAGAACAAAAACAGGTGGTTAAAATTTTCTTTTCTTTCCTTTTCTCTTTTTTCTTCTAGTGGCATTTGTTGAGAGCTGTTAAAAAATGAAAGTTGACTACTGAATGAATTCCTGATTGTAAGAATTCGTATCTTGAGACTTAGTTCATTTATCTATATAACAAATTTCATAAAAGTCATGTGATCAGTGGCTATTTTTCTTTGACAGTCACTTTTCAGCGACAGAAAAATTGAATGATCAGTAAATTAGGAAATCTTTTAGTTAGCGGCACAAGCTTTTCAACTTCTTAGGAAAAGGACAGACTTGATAAATTTCCATTGGTAGGCTAAACATTACACCATGTTGCCTTCTTTGGGCGTCTCACTTTAGCGATTGCCCTTTGGTTCACAAATAATTTGTAAACACCAATGAAATAGATATGTACACAGAAAAAAAACACCACAGTGTGTGTTTATATATTTGAGTCAGGATTCTTGAAATAGTGTGATACCAGAGCAGACACATTCAAATGTTGAAGTTGATAAACAGGCAAATTAGCGGTTTTCTCTAAACGGGTATACTCCAGGTAAAAGCATATTCTTTAACAGTAAGACAGGTAGAGTTTTCTTCCTTTATAGTAATGTTTTGGACAAACATGTTGTTGAGAAGAATGCAAAATTTATGTGAATCTTATGGAAACAGAAGACTTCAAATAAATGTCTTGGGTCTCTTCTGAGCATTCGCTGTCACCCAAGATCTTTGGACTATTTATTGATTACAGCTTCAGTCTATCTCTACGGTTCTCATTTAATAAATTTTATTTATTGAGTTTCTTTCTTTGGTTTTGCAAAATTTCAGTGGAATAAACCACATTTGTGTGTGTGTGTGTAGTGATATTAGTGTGGTTACTTGTAAACATTTGACGCATTTTTTTGTATTCTCTGCAGATGATCACTCTTTTTCTCTGAGTTGCCGTTGTGGTGGAAAATACAGTGTTTCCAAGGATGAAGTAGAAGAAGTTACCCTGATTTCTTGTGATACATGTTCACTAATTATAGAACTCCTTCATTGTAGCTGAAATTGTTCACTAAGTGGAATCCTTGAACTGTATATTCAGACATGTGGAGGAGAATCCCTTCCAACTTAGCTCTCTATATATGTTTATAATTTATATTTACAAATCACCAAAAACAGGGACTTGAATTACGAATTATATTTAGCAAATTCCTATTTGAGAACTTTATTATTGATTTGTTTATTCAAATAAGCATGTCTCCTCTTTTAATGGGTCACAATATCATCATGTGCCTTTATAGTTTCTAAGTTTCTGACGTAACATGATATTTCTAGCTGTTAAAGTTACAGGCTTATTGTATAACTATCTCAAAATTTCAGGTCTTTGGGGTTAAATTAGAATCTTTGTGAATAACATGTGAGCCTAGTTCTCCCATAATGAAGGCTGAATGTGGATACTCATGAGGTTTCTGCAAAGTTAAACAAGAAGGCGAAGTGGCAACTATAGAAAGGGTCGTTTTGGAGTCAGAAGACTTGACTTCAGTCCTGTCACGATTTCCAAGTCCCTCCTGTGGTTAAGGGAGTTGGTTCTTGGTCACCACCATCTTCAACTTGAAATATAATTTAGGAAATGGCAGCTTTAGAAAACAATAATTTGAAACAGGTGCATTACCTTCCTTTATTTCAGAGTACAACGACATACTATGAATGCCTTTATTTAGGAATAAAGAACCATTACATTGCCAGTATGATGAGGTGGACTTTTATAATGTATTATTATTGATAATAGTAAACTGTAAAGATTTTATTTTTCTACATATTTAATATTCTATGTATTGTGTAAGTAAAAAATCATTTAGAATATTGACTTGAAAAGGAATCCTTATGGGATCACTGAAACTTTAAATGAGTGAGGCAAGCTTATGACTTAGCAGCTTTTTACTACATTGAACTCTTTGTTTTTGGTTTGTTGCTTTGGACTTACAAGACTAGTTTCTACTCTGACTTTGTAAAGGTAGCTAAAGTATGAGGCATATTAATGAGGACATTTTTTCATTATACTTTTAAAACTAAAAATTCAAAAGTGCCCCCTTAAAAATATTTACACATCTCCCATAAAATATATATGACTTATTTTGGATTGCTTTTATCCGTGTATTTTGCATTAATATAGACTACAGATTGTGTGTTACTTCTTTACATTTAACAATTAAAAATAAACTGAATAGCAAATAAAGTTTATTAGTAAGTACATGGTTTCATTGGCAATAATAACTTCACTTAAACAGGAGACAAAAATCAAAAGAATAAATGCTGGCTAATCATCAGAAAATCTGTGGCTATTAGGGCTATCACGTAGAAATCCAAAATCACTCAGAGGCCAAATCTGTAAAATCAAAATTGATTGAAGATAATTAATGTCAGTGATGTTATTATCGTCATCATATTCCCTTTTTCTCAATCCCTTTTCTATGTGCCATATAATGAAACACTTTCTCCTTATTCTTCATTCAAGAACAAATTTCCTACATCAAAACAAGACTTTAGAAAGTAAATTTATATTTAAACTCTAACATCAGTTTGAACTGCATGGGTCCACTTATACACAGATTTTTTTCCAATAAATATAGAGTTGGCCTTCCATATGCTGGGACTTTTATTCATCTAACAGCAGTTTACAAACAGTATTTTTGACCCATGGTTGGGAATCCATGCAAGAAGAAGGTCACCTGTATGCATCGTTCTATGTGATTTATGTAAGAGACTTGAGCATCCACAGAATTTGTTATCTGTGGGGGTTCCTGGAACAAATACCAGATACTATAAGTAAGTTTTGGGGGAGTCAAAAAAATCATACGTAGACTTGCAACTGCGTGGGGGTCGGTGTTTAAGGGTCAACTGTGTGTGTGTGTGTGTGTGTGTGTTCTTTTACTACCCTCAATGTTAACTGTAAACCTTAGTACTTGAATATATGCTTAAGTGTAAAGAATCCTGTAAATTATCCCCAAATGTCTGTTTTTCTCCTTAACTGACTGACAAAATGGAGGCGCCAGTGAAAACAATTATCTTTCCTAAGAATCATGTATTTAATACAACTAAAGTCTACTCCTCACTGTACTTACCTGGGATATACCTGCATTACAGATCATTTGACTCTAGATTGCTCTTCTGAAATGCATATTCATATATTCCCAGGGTATGAACATGGTTGTAAAAGTTTACGAGAGAGAAATTTTTGGAGATTCAAATTAAAGGCTTCTTATGCTACAACTAAGGTAGTTAGAACTTTATTATTCAAAATAAAATATTCTCGATTACCTGTCTCAGTGGGGGGAAGGGGTAATGTTTATAGCTATGAAGGCCAACATTTTCATAGCTTTTATTGCAACAGTTAAGTCCACTAATAGCCTGAAGAATTCAAAATTCAGTTTTAAAGAAACTGGTGGTTTTCTTCCCCCAGCTCACAGAAGAAAGCCTACATTTTAAGTAGAAAACAGTACCTTAAAGAAGATACGTCCTCTTATTAATCCATATGGAATAGGTCCATAGTACCTGGAATCTGTGGAATTCTGTAGATTATCACCTTCTAACCAAACATGGCCCATGGGCACCTGGAATTAGAGAAGAAAGCAGCCCCTTTAAAAAAGGAACAAACAAATTTGGGTACTAGAAATGAAAAGTGTGTCTTACGCAGGTAGGGAGAAGTGTCCTGAAGTTGTTTTATAAAATACATACAAACCCTATTATTTCATTTCTTATGCACAATAAGATAACTTTTATTAAATATTAGTAAGTGGTATTAAGGTTTCAACTTTTTAGAATACCTTTCTTTTTGCCACATGGTTCCCAAACATTAATTTGTTACCAAAAAAAAAAAAAAAAAAAGCCCAAACTGAGGTTATAAGAGATCAAAACAGTATGACGGGGTCATTAATTTAATAGACTGCAAAAGAGGTCATTAGGATGCTGTGCACTCCTGAGTCAATAACAGCATAAGCAGGGTAGCCACTCATTCAGCAACATCCTGGGGCCAATAGCAAGGCCAGACCTATTAGGATGCTCATGATGAACTAAATGGTAATTGATTGTGACATCAATTACAAATAATCTCATCATTTTATTGGAGTGGGCTTGTCAGAATTCTAATTAAGATCCTGTTCTGCCTTTGTACAGGCCATATCTTCAGTGCATTATACTTCAATAATGACCATCAAGAACTAGACGGACCTATTATAAAACCATCAGCTGTAAAATTAATGATGGTGACCTTCTACTAAATGAAAAGACCCAATATGTCCTGTATATTAACTGGTAAATGACATAAGTTTAAATTTTTACTCAATGACAATCATAAGTATACTTAGAACAGAACATGTTTCTTAAAAAAAAACAAACAACTCTTTGATATAGTACAGTTGCCCGTTAATATCTGTTCAACATAAACAAAAAATTACTCTAGCAACAATCTTTAAAATTGCATTTTAAAAGGTTTTTTTAAAATATAGTTTTTATTACCCAAGAAAGTTGACTTACTGACCAGTCCAAAATGATCTGTTGGGAAGGAATTTATTTTCACTGTTCTTTTAACTGGCTATTATTGGAGAACTTTATGTGAATAAAAATATCCCTACTGGATTTAATAAGAAGTGACTGCAATTTTTTAAAATGTCACAAATTACTTTTCTAAGACTTTATTTTTTAGAGCAGTTTTAGGTTCACAGCACAACTGAGAGGAAGGCACAGAGATTTCCCATGTGCCTCCCGGCCACATACACAGCCTCCTCCATTATTGATGGCCTCCACCATAGTGGGATATTTGTTATACTTGGTGAACCTACACTAATCACCAAAATCCAAAGTTTACCTTAGCAGTCGCTCTGGGTATGGTACATTCTATGGGTTTGGGCAAATGTATGACATGTATCCATCATTATAGTATCATACGAAGTATTTTCACTGCCCTAAAACTCCTCTGTGATCTATTTCTCCTTTCCTCATTACCTTTTGGAAAAATAAATTTATGCAAGCGTGTAAAATTTTAATTTCACTTTATATCACAGATTACATAATGTTAAATGTCTTATATCACAGAAATATTTGCCCAAAAAATTAAATCAAGTTAATTACTTTCATTTAAATACAATTAAATGTTAAATTTCTCTATTTGTAGAGAAGGGACATAAGCTTCCTGAAAGAATGTGAGAAACTATAAGATCACTCTTCGTTACTAGTCATAGGTTCTAGGGCCAAGAGTGAGGCTAGCTCCTATCTATATAAGTGGATTTATGTGCAGTGGAGCATAAGATTGCTTAAGCAGACAAATGAGAATACCTCAGTTCATAAGTGAAAGGAAGAACAAAACAGCATATTTGGAAAAGCCAAGTGTCATTAGCATTCCAAAGTACTGCCTTGGGACAAGTCACAATATGAACATCTTTTGTGTTTAAATTTCCATAGTTTCTCCTTAATATGTGTTCCTGAGTTCTAAAAATAGGTAATATATATGAATAGTTAAATAAAACCATCAAATTAGGGTCACCAATAAAAGCAAAAGAAAAAAATTCTACAGGCTAATAAGGCAACATACTAACAACTTAGGAAGGTAGAAACCAAAGCTGGAACTCCAATAATGGCTGGTGATTAATAGTAGTAGAAATTCTTGTAAAGTCCAACCACTTTTATGGCAGTTATGGCCTAAGTTTCTTCCAATTAGCTAAATAATAGTGATGAAGTATCATCTCTGGTGTAGTAGAAAGAAATCTTCTGAAACCCAGAACGAATCACCAGAAGTCTTTGGAGGAGTGTGACCCAGGCTAGCTGCACCTGGTCCTTGACTGCAAGGGGTGGAACAAAAGGAGGAAGAGTGATGCAAACCAGTATGTGTATGTGGCTTTCTGGCTTGTTTAGTAGTAAAACTATATAAAAACGCATCTGATCCTTAAAACAACCTGTGAAGTACTGTTATTGATATTTAATAGAAGTAAGTTCAAGTATGGGACGTGCTAAATCCTACTTATCTGAAGCACAGACCTAATACCCGTGCATCCACCACATCCTACAGACATCAATGCTTCATATAAAGTACACAAATCAAGGAAACCAACTTCATTTATGGTTCTTTTAATCTAATAATCACTTCTCTACAAACAGGAAAAGTGAATCTTTTAAAATCAAAGCAATAACTTTTGCTGACCCTACCTGTCCATCAATTACTC